CTACATATATATATATAAAAGAATTAAAGAAAAAAGAGATTAACAAAGAAAATCATGAAAATTAAGAAGAAAAGATAAGTTTTATTAACTGCTCATAAGCTGCAAGTGCATTGAATCTATAAAATAAGATAAAAATAAAAAGAAAACAAGAAAAGATATATTTTAAAGAGTAAGAAAAAAATTATTAAAAAATAAAATTTATTTAAAATTTTTTTAAAAAAATGAAAAAGCCAGAAAGCAAAATAAGGGAAAGATTAATTTTCCTTATTTCTTTCTTGACTTTTTAATTAAAAAAAACAAACAAACATTTTTTAATAATTTTTCTTCTTTCCTGATATTTGTTTTCCTTGTTTTCTTTGTTGAATTTATTGAAATTTTAAAGCTTAAAGAAGATGCTTAAATCTAATTCAAATTAATAGCTAGAGTAAGATATATCTTTATTTTTTTTAAAAAAATGAATTGAAATTTGACTTAGTGCTTAAAAGTAAAACTCGGAAGTCAAGAGCAGCGTTCATCTTGCTATTAATTTTTAAAATTTTTTTAAAATTTTTATGTATGTATAAATAGGAAATCCTTCACATAGATAGGTTGAAATAAGCAGTATCAAAATGTTTATAGCTCTTTGTATATTTGCCTTTCATTTCTACCCAAAAATTATTTAATGGCATGTATTCACATTTTGTTTTAAGACCTGAATTGCATTTGATTATAATCAAAGGCAGACAGGAATTGGGGCTTTATTGTTGTACGGATTTCGCACCCATTTAAACTTTTTATTATCTGAACAAACTATTCAACAATACTTTTTTCAAATGAAGCAAATATTTAACAATAAATTTTTTTCCAACGCCCACCTGGAGAATGACCTTTCGTCATACAAAGATCCAAGGGCAGATTTGTTGGCCATTCTTTCAGGGGCACCATATTAGGTGGGCCATCGTTGCTCCCTCAGGAAGGACAGATAGTACTGAGAAGGAAGGAACATTCATGCCTTGCCCGGGATTCGAACCCAAAACCTTTCTGATGCAAAGTTAGTTCCCTGACCCCTCCACCAGCCAAAGGCATATTCAACAGTATTGATCTATACATATTTTCTTCTTCGAAAATTCAAAAAAGGAAGGTGAAACATTCTGTTGAACTTGCGATCCTACCTAAAGTCTATTCAATTTTGTAGTAATCAAAAAATATATTAATATATTTTCTTCCTTATAGCACTGTTAAATAATTTAATTTTGAAAATATGCAAGCCAAAGAGGAGCCACTTTTCATTCAAGAAATTTTTTATTACTGGTCAAAATGAAACCAAATTCTAGTGTAAAAAAAAATCAATTTCAGAAAACAATACAGTAGAAAGAAAAAGCAAAAAATTGTCATTTTTAATACCTTTTTAATGATGTCAAAAACTTAGCTAATAATGTCATAATTTCATATTTACTTAAGAACTGATACTCTAAGATTCAACAATTTATAGATATCTATTGAGGACCATTCAAATTTCATTGGGATTTCCAACTATTTTTTTTCCATCTTTCTATTCAAGTCATTAGAACATTTTAGTTTCTTTGAGATTAAAACTTACTTGTTATTTCGCAACATTTCATGTTTTTAACATACTTCGATTTCATTTATATTAGATGTGAAATAAAATGATAGGCAAATCACTAAAAAGAGAAATTTTGGCTCTTAGCTTCAGCTATGAACTGAGGCTATTTCAACTGAAGTGTATAATCTCCCAAATGATATACTTTCATAACAACATATAAATTATAATGGTGTGGATTACAATATTCTTTAAGGTCTGTTGCATCCCAAACATTGATAAACTAATTATTATTACTCAGAAAATCAGTACTTTTAGTTTCATTTCATTAATTATAAATTTCGTTATGACTATCCTGACATTTCCAGTGATAGAATGTGTGTCTAAATTCGTAAAATTTGTAACCATTGAAAAGCAGTAATCAATTAAAGAAAATTAGAATTTTCTAGCTTAATATTTTTAGTTTATAAATATTAATAATTAGAATATATTTCATCGAGTTATATTTAATTTTAGGTCATCGTAATAGGTATATTATAGTATTCCCGAATGAATTGTTTAAGTGAGAACGTAAATGAAATGGACAACAGCAAATTTTTACATCTTTCGGAAAACGTTCCACCACTGATATCACAGTCACGATTAAAATTTAATAATAATTATATTGTGAAAAGACTAGCAATATTCTATGTCAAGCAGCTAAAATCCAAGCATTGATTTTCTTCCCGGAAGCAATCAAGAAAATTTAAATTTTTTTACATCCATTGAAATTTCATAAGCAGTAAGTCTACATACCAGGAAATTTTATTAATTCTTTGGTATTTTAATTTAGCAAAAAATTTTGTTAAAAAAAATCATCAAATGAAAACTGCCTCTTTTTGACAAAGAAAAAAATCTATTTTAAAAAAAGCTAATAAGTATTTCGTTTTAGCAGTTAAAAAAATAAGCTATAATCGGTTATATACAGAGAAAAAATATTTTAGTGGGTATTGGCCAAGAGCCCCCACCTTATTTCACTTATTTTCTTGGATAAATATCGGGAGTAAAATCAGGTTATCGGAAGTGTACCAAAGGACAAAAGCTTTTCCAAAACCGGGCAACTCAAAAACCAAAATGTTTGAGTTGTGAAAGAGAGGGCAATCTTAATCATTAAATTCTGGAGGGAAAATGTTCTTCTCAGCTTTTCTTATGTATTTTTGCTTTACTTTCATTTCTAGTTTTTTATTTTCATTTTTTAGTAGCGAAAATGTAAAACAACAAAATAAAAATTTGAATCTGTTAAAATTGAATATATATATGTATATGTAATACAAAAATTATAAATACTTTTGTATTAATAAAAGCATTAAAACTCTTTCGTTCTCATAAAATGTCTTTGGTAAAGAATAGGTGTAGAGATATTCTATTTTGAGACTTCAAGGCTGAAAACATACCATTGAATTATAATTAGATTTATATTTCAAAGGAAGAGTTATTTTTAAAATCTTTTCCTCTTTCACTTCCATATTAGGATGTATTAAATGGTTATCGATGATACGTAGAGTTACAAGGTATGTACGAATTGAGCCTTTTCACCTCCTTCTCTGCTAGTATTTAAAGCAGGAGCGATTGTTTCTGCGTGTCTTTTGCTGTGTGATGTTGCCAACATAACCTTCGCCACTATTGTCTTGATATTAGTCCACCCCCCTCCAGCAGGGAGAGTGGGTGAGACTTCTGCTTACACCATACTCCAGTAAATAAAGCCTGTAAAGTCTATCGGCTTATTATTTCTACAAATGTAAATTAAAAACACTACCAAAACACTACCCTGTTATTAGAAGCCGGCAAGATAAGCTTCGCTGAGGAAACCTTTTGGAGGAAACTATTACGCATTTCAATCAAGTTGAATCTTAAGCCTAACTACGGCGGGAAGTGCTGAATTGTCGAAGGTTCCCATCCCTGACGCGGGAAAACGTTGAAGGAAGGATGATCTCACCCCGTCCGTTTCTCTACATGTACCTGTTCTTATACCTCGCCGTTATCGGAAGAAAGTTGACTGGAACTTCTCACATCCCCGAAAGCCTTTGATATCTGTCCCAAGAATTTTCAGAGGAGATTTCTGCATCTAAGTTGGAAGAAACATCAACCATGGTAGTGTTACGGCACCTAGTGATCAAGAATAGGTTTTTGTGAACAATTTCAAGTGAAAGTGCAGTTTAGTGCAGGAATGTGAAATGGCCTGCAAAAATTTGTTTCTCGGTGTTCTAAAAAATACCTGTTGGTAAAGTGTACAGACATTCTAAATATTTCCAGTGAGGGAAATAAGAATGAAATTGCAAAACATATTTTAACTTGCTTATGTGATTTTAATTACTTAAAGAATTCTATAGTAATGGAAAATCCCTCTGAAGATGAGAATGAAACTAGTCAGTTTGAATGTAATCAAGCTCAAACTGATTTTGAACTACATTTACCAATTAAAACTTATGTAAATCAATTTACACAAGTAAA